AGAAAGATTAGATTAGGAAACCAGGAACAATAGTTGACTTTGCATACTGTGCAGAGAATCCAGAAAGAGAGAACCAGGTTCCATTTCTTTCTCTAGGAGTTCTTTTAAAGCTGCTTTGAAATGTTCACAAGTTTTGTTCATTTATTCTTGGGCGGTAGTATAATTGACATTTAAGAGTATAAAGAGTACAGATTCCTAAAAGTTTTATGAAACATATAATGGATGTGAAATTTATGCCACCAATCACTGTAATTTTTTTTTTTGTTAAAAATTGATCTTGCTGATATATTCAGCCTAATCTTCCTTAATGGTTGGAGATGGAATAAGTGCATCGTTACTGTTAACTAAAATTGTCTAATAAATTGAGTACGTTTTGTTTTCTTAACAATTTAATTCGCAGTTCTGTTTATTTGTTTATGAATGAAATTAAAATTGACACAATAAATATTTTTTGCAATAATTTTTATTTTTCTTATTTTATTGAGTTCTAATTAATTTCATAACAGCTCAATTTACGATTCTATTTGTTTATTTGTGAATGAAGTCGAAATTGATTCAATTTCTCATATTTTGTTGAGTTCTGATAACAAACCAATCAAAAGAACAACATATATTTCTTAGCTTATTAACAACTCAATTTGTGATTTTATTTACTTGTCTGTGAATGAAGTCGAAATTGACACAATGAATATCTTCCTCGATATTTTTGCTCCCCAAATTATTGTGCTGATTCTTTTATTAAATCCATAGAATAACACAAAATTGTACCCCATGGCCATCTTCAGGGAATAATTTTGTGTTCCCACAGTGCAATGATAAGGAATACGACCGATGAATAGTTGAGACTGTCGTATTCAAAGACAAACAGGAAATGTCTCCAGGGGCAGAAAGATTTCCCCATGACCGAAAGTTTTTCTGATACAAAATCATACAACGTCATGAAAGTGTTCAAAGTACCACATAATGAATGAGCGTCGCGTGGAGGAAACGAGCCAGTCGAGGCAGAGGAAAATGCTTATCCAATGTCACCTGGCCCCCCATGCCGTGCATCTGCGTAGCATGGAAACTATATCCTTGAAAGAGGGGGAAAAAAAAACAGGACAATCTGATCATCAAGTTTTTGTTCTGAGTTTTGATTCAATTCCCTGTTGAGTTTCGGAGAAACTAATCATTTGAGTTTTTGCGATGTGTCAAGGAAATTGTTGGTTTTTGGTAGTCATGGAAATTGAAAAGCTATGATGATTCAGTAGGCTAGGTAGTGGAAAGACCTCTGCAGATTCTCTCAAATTTTAGAGTCTTTCTTTTCCGAAGGATAATTTTAATATGAATATGCTTTTTATTGGGAATTTAATCTCATTTATCAGCAGGAATTGTCATTGGTCAAAAGTCCTGATTACCAAGGAGCTTATCATTAACAAAATCTGGACCACGAAAAGCAGATGAAATGGAAAATAACACCGCACTCAAGTACATATCTTGATGTTCGAAGTTCATTCCTTTCATCATTAGCTTGGGAATGATTAAAGTTAAGGTCAAACTCTCAGTTATGATACCTTAAATGTCAACCTCTCAATTATTTGATCACCCACCAACCACAGTAACAGCCTGAATTAATCCGGTTGAACAGGACGTACAGATGCCAGTAATCAGAACTGTTGCGTCATGAATTTCCCATTGAAAAGAAATGAAACGAGAATGAGAAATTAGATTGAATAACAGATCAGTAAATAAAGAGTCAAAATTCTAATGATGATCAACTGGTTCCCGCTAGCTTAGCAAAAGATAAAAGGGGAAAGTTCAAAAGATGGAAACCAAGGGTCCAATTCCAAAAACACAAAAGAGGGAAAGGAAGGGCAAAATGAACATGGGTGGCACTCTGGGGGGTGGTAATTAAGGATATCAGACAACATAATTATTGTCACTTAAGGAAATCAAGATAGGGATGTAAAAGAACATTATTGTCCTTTGACTAGGATGGCCAGACAGACACCAGGCTCTTAGGAGTAGGGGCTATCACGCTTTAACTCTTTGAACAACTTTGGCTGGTTGTTTTCTTAAAGGACTAAAGGAAGAATCTTTGGAAGGTGGCCACGGAGCCGTTGGCAAAGATAAAAAAGGGTTGGAAATTATGAGGAAAAGGAGAGAATAAAAGCAAAAGAATGCTTCTAAAGCTTGTAAATTTAACTAAAGCAAAGGAGTAGCTCTCAACTGTCATAGTCTCTTGATATTTTATAAACATGAATAATATATTTTCACTTGCCAAATATCCCAAATCGACCCATGCTTATCAGTTCTTTGTTGGGTATTTTTTCTTTTTGGGAAAAAAAAGGGGTTTTGCACCATCCTCCATAACTCAACAAGGATAGGATGAAAAAGTACGGTGCACAAACTACTAGCAAAGCAACCTTGGGGATGGAGTGGTAGACTGCTCACAAGTCACACCTCCCTAGTATGGCAGCTAAATGACTAGTAGTTCTCAATGGATCAGTATAGCTAAATAAAATAAAGCAGCATCATCTACTGATTGGCCTTTGATTGGTTTTTTTCTTCCTTTTTAATGTTTATGGCACTTCCATGGCCATTGGCCATAGCCTGTACAACTTTGGAACTTCTTTAAGTGTGAAAAGCACTTGTTCTGCGGCTTGCGGGGACAAAGGTAAACTCCCCTCCACATTTCTCTCCCTCTCTCAAATCTCGAAGAGAACTTTTTCTTTGGCTGAGTCCATATTGGTTGCTATGGCACTTCCATGGCCATAGCCAATACAACTTTGGAACTTTTTAAGCATATTGAGTGTAGGGTTTCTAATAATTGGATTTTTTCATTGTTATCATTATATGTCGTATGATTTATAGATAATTATATGATCTAAAAATACTTGTTAATGATGATTTATGTGAACAAATATAAATTTGTTTTTTCCCGATGCAATGTAAACAGTTTTGTTCATGTTTAGGAATAATATTTGTATACTATATACAATAATGCAACACTGAAACCAAACATTATATAAATCACCAAACCATGAGACATTGGCATTTGGCAGAGATCTTTTATGGGGGTTTTGGGGAGGTTTTCTAATCTTTTTTTGGATTATCAAAATCTAAAATGCCTCAAAAGTACAAACCACCATTGTTGCATATAATAAGACAATAATTTCCATGGTGGGAGAGAGAGAGTCTTTACCAAGTTTTTGTCATTAACCATCTGAAAATACATGCAAAAGCTACAAAAGGAAACCTCATAATTCGTAAATTCTTTGTCTTTTTGTTTGATCTAACAGCTTTTTCAACTTCATAATCTTTTAGTATTACACAAAATCTACACTAACAATCGTGGAGAATATTCTTTAACCCAAAGATTTTACTTAGCAAAAGATCCAACGCTAGCTCCATGCACAAGTTAGAGATATACCTTAAAATCCACGCAAGGAACACACAACATTCCCACTAAACATTACCCAAACTTTGTCTTTGTTATATGTTTTGCTAATTTCTTTCTTTTTTTCCTTGAAAATATGACCTTTTTATTGATTTAAATTCTCCAATTTTGAACATGATATATGACTACTCTTCATGCCACAATGAGCTAAAAGTGTGTTTGATAATAGCCACTATACCAATGATGTGTAAGCAATTTGCCTGTTCTATGTATGTTATTCTAACTACATCTAGGGTTTCTTCTTTTTCGAGATTAGAGCACTCGGACATCTATATTATCTTAGTTTTTTTTTTATCATATTTAAGTTTCGTTTGATTGATATGTTTACAAAATGTTACTTTCTTATCATGCATAAAATGTCACGTGGAGGGTACCCAAGAGGAGTATACTCTGGTGAGATAACTAGATAAGGAATCCATTGAAACTTTTACCCAAATGAAGGTGGAAGCAAGGGTTTTTTAATAAGGCATGCCTAAAAGAAAACCTAGCGAGTAGGAAGGTCTGGTGCCAAGCTACAAATACGAGTAGCTGGAGATATAATAACTAAACCCCATTTGCCCCCATTTGACATCATGGGATTGACCTTGGCATTGTGGGGTTATGTCATCCTGGAAATATGGTGGAAATCCAAGTCATATTCAAGTGGGATTGTCCACTCCTTGTCTTTTTGATTGAATATCATTGTCACTCAATATCCTTTTGACACCATCAGTACTACTTCAGATGCTCAAAGCATGCACATATTCACCATTCTGACCTAATTATTACTTGATCCATCTCTTTTTTTTTTAAATATCATACAATAAAATAAAAAAGAGATTAAAATAAAAAGAGACCGAAGGAGTTGAAGGACTCTCCCAATTCTTATATATTCAATACAATAAAATCTTCAGAGATATCGAAAAGTTAAGTTTTAAGTGATGTCTTTGAAAATATTGCAAAGTGGGGACATCTTCCCTAATAAAGTACTGCTTTGTATTTTGCTTATGGAGAGTGGAAATCCTACCCTAGTCAAAGCCAATTAGTTTCAAAAATAGCACACGTTCTTATCAAAATCAATAACCAGAACTAATTCTAGAAGCTTGAATCACTTTGGGGTACTCTTGTGGTCAAATAAGTGACACTAATTTAATTATAAAAATTATTTAAAAATAAAATAAATCATAAAATCTAATAATAAATTAGGGATTTTATTTTGGATGATTAATAATAAAATATAAACAAGAGAACAAACCCAGGATATTACAAAAAGTACCTATATAAGCAGCCCAAGCCCATCAATAAATGGGCTTTTATCACTTCTTTGCTCAATCATCAAACTCTATGATGAGCACATGAAAGGCCCATACATCATGGCTTTTGGGCCAAAACTTTTTGTTTTTTTCTTTTTCATAAATTGTGAATAAAAAAGAGATATTTAAATTAGTTGAGATTATTTCTTTTTTTAATTATTATTATTTCATCATTATTTAACTGTGACATATCATAAGATAAAAGAGAATTACTTTTCAAGTAAGAAAATATCTAATAAAGGCTTTAATCATAATTAAAACAAACACTATCAAGTCCATCCATTTTTGATCCTAAGCCGCCGAGCCATGCTTCATGTGATAGAAGACACCATTCACGGGCTTGACAGGGTAATCCCTCGGTCTCTGAATTTTGTAGTTATGAATGATGGTTGCTGCTGTGGCTTTCACCATGGTAAAAGCCAACTCTTTCCCTAGGCAAATCCAGGGACCTGCACTGAAGGCTACAAACTGGTAATGTGGCACATGTTTGATCTGATGATCTCCTCCTTCGGTGAGCCATCTCTGTGGCTTGAATTCATGGCAATCCTCTTCCCAAACCGATGTCATCCTTCCCATTGCGTGTACAGCAATCAGAATGATTGCATTTTGATAAACTCTGTGGCCACTCGGAAGGGTGTCTGGTTGAAGAGCTGTTCTTGACAGGACGGGTCCTGGTGGGAATAGTCTTAAGTGTTTCGCATAATGCTGCATGCAGATAAACTAGTTCGTTCAATTCTTGTGGCTGAAATGGTGTTCCGCTCTTGCTGCTGCTGACATCCTGGCTTTCCTGTGAAACTTTTGCTATTTCGTCTCTGATTTTGGCTTCCACAGATGGATGCTTAGAAACCATCCAGACGAACCATGTCAGAACTGTCTAGTTGTGTCTTGTGTAGCAAATATGAGACTGATAACGTTGTCCCTCAAGCCTTTACGAGTTGGTGCGGATCCTAAGGCCTGATCATCATGTCCAGTGGAGTAATAAAAACCTTCGAAATTAAAGAGTCCTTCGGTTGATTCTTCTTGCTTCTTAGATATACATTCCGCAATGACACGATCAATGGTTTTCCAAGCATCTTTTAGTTTCTTTTCCTTGCCAATTCCTAGCCACCTTTGTAACTTCCACAAACTTTCAGGCATTAAATAACGGGGAAAAAGATGCCTCACAGGCATCTTCCGAGGGTTGGGGTTACAGCCGACACCCATCATCCAAGCAATATCAAGGATGTGTTTTCGGAACAAATCCTGGAGGTCAACAGCCAAACTTCGTTCAGATACGCGTTCAAGCACAGGGATGAGCCCCTTCTCTATACTCTCCCAGATGATCTTCGTTATGAACTGGTGGAATTTCTGGTGACTGGTGAAACCACAAACCAGTTTCCTTTCCTGCTCCAACTCTTCCAAATCAACGCTGAAAAGAGTGTCTCCGAGAATATCAATCTTCTCCCTCCATTTCAACCCTTCGGGGTACCTGGAAAAGTTCGTGCTCAGTACGTGGCGCACGCCCGCAGGGTCGCTCGTGACCAAGATTTTGGCACTACCGGTGAACCATGAGTACCGGTCGATATGAACCGTACGCTTGCTTATTTCAAGAACTTCTGCAATTTTATCGTGAAGCTGCAGGTCTAAGCTGGGGAACAGCAACGATAAAATTACAGGGAACAGCCTGTTGTTCCCTGGGAGAGCACTGGAGGATTTAGAACGATCCAGAGCAAGGAAGAAAATAACAGCAAAGATGAACAGAAGAATGTAGCCCAGGTATCCATATTGTATCATTGCTTTTTCTGTTATAATGCATGATTTAGAGCTCAAACTATGGCTGTATTTATACTCGAAGGTTCAATGTTAATAGCTGAAATGGTGTAATTACTCTTCCTCAACATGTAGAATGCAAATTTCCATTACTGGAACCAGAATGGAAATCTTCAACCCTTTTGTATTTTGTTTAAAAAATATTATAATAAAAAGGTATTTGTTATCTTAAAATCATTTTTACCTACTAAAATTGAAAGAAAGTCAGCATGACAATTTTAATGAACTAAATTATATAATAGTTATTTTATTTTATTCTAAAAACGAAACCTGTTGACAATGATAAACGATAATAAAGGGTATTTGCTGTTTTCTTATTACTATTATTTTGTTATTTTAAAATTATTTTTATTAACTAAATCTGAATAAAATCAGAACGACAATTTTAATCAACAAAATTCCATAATAATTATCCTATTCCATAATAACAAAATGTAGGGTAGCTATTGATCTTTCCGATTTACTGATTTTAAATTCAAATATTACAAAGAGAGATGAGAATTATGAAATAAAAGAAGATTTCTCTGTATTATACTATACTCCATCCGTCGTCTTGTCTTTCTTCAGATGTTTCAAATTATATAAATTTTTTTTTATTTTAATATTACATATATTAAAATTAATTTTTTAAAATTTCTTAAAAATTTAAGAAAACCAATATTTTGAAATAGAAGAAATATAATATAATTTAATTTAATATGTGCTTATCCGTACTAACGTAATGCTATAATGCAGGCCCGTAGAGCCCAAGATTATTGGGCCAATCCAAACCCATTGTAAAAACTTAAAAACAAAGTAGAAATGAAAAATTATTGGGCCAATTTGGCCGAAAACGTTATCGGGTCAGCCCATTTTGTACTACTGAACAGCGTTACCATATTTCAGGGCCTTCAAAATAAGGAATCCAAATGAGTATTTTATAATTAAAAATCTTGCAATACCCAACTCGCTAATATCTTATTTTCTAATTAGGTTAATAAAATTATTATTTGTTATGGAGTCAAGTGGAGTTCCACTAATTATTAAAAAATATTTATTATTTGAATTTGATATAAATAATAAATTTATATATTATTTTTTATTTATAAATTATTTATAATTAATATAATATTTATTAAAATTTATTTATTATTAAATTTTAATTTATTTTTTATAAGTGAATTTTAATTTATTATATAGAAAAATTGATTTTGATTTTATTTTTATTTCGGAATTTTGTGATAAATGTTAATTAATAACTGAATTCGAATATTAAGTTTTAATTTTAATTCGGGGTTCAAATAGAGTATAAATAAATTAAAATTAGGTTTCCGCTTGGGTACTTCGAAAACCCTAGTTTTGTAATCCAACGGCCGTTATAAATGGAAGAAAGCTAATCGTAGCTGTAGAGTTCTTATCTAATATTCTATAAATGCCTAGCCACACAAATCTAGGGTTTATAAGCAAAAGCGTAAAACAATAGCCCCTGTGGAGCTTGTCTCATTTTCCGTCAGCTCTTTTAGATCTCGAGGTATTATCGTTCAATTGTTTCATTGCGAATTCCGTCTTAAGTATTTGAATCCAATTGATGATTGTATTCGTTAGTTCTACGCGAATTTCTGGTGTTTTTGTCTTTTTGTTTTTAAAGCCCTTGGTGTATGGAAACATATTGATGTAGCTTCAGTTTCTGGCGATGATTGAGATGGATTTGCTCATGAAAAGACAAGGTTGGAAAAAATCAAGGCTGGTGTCTCGAAAAGGGCTCTCTCCGCCAAAACCCTAAGAAAAGGAGGGGTTTTTGGAAAGAAATACCAGAGGAGCCCGAGAATTGGCGTACTTAGTGTTATGCCATAGGCCTTTGGTCGTGGGTTTCCATTTCTTTTCAATTCGCTAGATCTGATGATCTTCATATGTTTCTACATCAAGAGTTAAACTTTTTTTTAACTGTTTTAATTTTACAATTAGCTCACTGATTCAAGTTCTTTAATTTTTTATGTTGGTTGAAACAATTCTATCCTGATTTGAAACTTAAGATGAGCTGATTTAGCTGAAGTAAAACATTTTGTCGCTTGATCAAATGGTCTGCTAGTTAAAGATTCCTTTTTGTTCCTTATTTTGCTTGTGCTGTTAGCTTGAATTGTTTGTTAGTCGTTTTTTCCAGATCTTTATGATGCTTTGAGTAATTCTGTACTGATTGAAATCTCCAGATGCCCAATTTAGGATCTATATTGTTGTCTCTCTTTTGATGTGATTCAATGTTATTACCCTTAATTTAATTGTTTGGTTTGTCTATATTTTTCACAAATATTTCCCACTTCCTTTATCATGCATTTGCCTTAGTTTAGGGTTCTCTTTGGAGGTTTGAATCCATTATCCTAATGCCTCAGTTAAAAATGGGATTGAGTTTTGTGAAATTTTGCAGAGTATTTATTGTTGAAGAAACATGTCTCATCGCAAGTTTGAGCATCCAAGGCATGGCTCTTTGGGGTTTCTCCCAAGGAAAAGAGCCTCTCGCCACAGAGGAAAAGGTTTCTTTTTTTTAATTACGCCCCTTAAATATTTTGTAATTAGTAACTGGTGATGTTTATTTGTCATATTGTTAGTCATTATTTGCTGATTTTCTTGTTATTCAAAATGCTTTATTGCATTTAAGTAATCATACTGATGCAGAATGGCTGGCTCAATTGAACCCAGTTTGGTTTAATAGTTTCTGTTATAATTTGTTACCAATCCATGAGGTTGTAATTGCTAACGCTGTCCCTTTTCTTAACTTGGACAGTTTGTCACTTAATAGGCTAACATGTTTAGTTTGTCACGTTTTAACATGTTCAGCATGCATCGAAGTTCCTACTGTAGTTGTGTTTAACCAATGTGTTCCTGATTTTTGTTTCTTCTTTCATTTGTGTTCAGTGAAGGCTTTCCCAAAAGATGATCCTACCAAGCCATGCAGATTAACTGCATTCCTGGGATATAAAGCTGGAATGACCCATATTGTGAGGGAAGTCGAAAAGCCTGGATCAAGTATGCTTTTGTTCCTCTGACCCATATTTGGTTAATTGTGAAATAATAAATAGTCTGTTTCTGATCTACTTGGTTTAAGAAATGATACACTACGTGCTCTTTATGTGCTGCATTCTATGGTCTATTTTCTTCCTTGTTTAGGTAGATAGTTTAATGTTTTTAATTTTTATGTTCCTTGCTTTCAGAGCTTCACAAGAAGGAGACCTGTGAAGCAGTTACTATCATCGAGACTCCACCCTTGGTTGTTGTTGGAGTTGTTGGATATGTCAAAACACCCCGTGGTCTTCGTACTTTGGGCACTGTGTGGGCTCAGCATCTGAATGAAGAGGTGAAACGGAGATTCTACAAGCACTGGTGCAAGTCTAAGAAGAAGGCTTTCACCAAGTACTCAAAGAAGTTTGAAACTGAAGATGGTAAAAAAGATATTCAGTTGCAGCTGGAAAAATTGAAAAAATATTGTACTGTAATTCGTGTTTTGGCACACACCCAGGTATGTTCCCCTGGAATATTTCTATTCTATGTTTTAGTCGCGATTCTTGATATTTGAATGCTTTAACCAATATGTTTCTCTGACTTCTTTGGTGTCTTCAATTTTTCCTTTCTGTAGATAAGGAAAATGAAGGGTTTGAAGCAGAAGAAGGCCCATCTAATGGAGATTCAAGTCAATGGTGGGAATATTGCTCAAAAAGTTGACTTTGCTTACAGTTTCTTTGAGAAACAAATTCCGGTTGATACGGTGTTCCAGAAAGATGAGATGATCGATATTATTGGGGTGACCAAGGGTAAAGGGTACGAAGGTGTTGTGACCAGATGGGGTGTGACACGTCTCCCCCGTAAGACCCATCGTGGGCTGCGCAAGGTTGCTTGTATCGGTGCATGGCATCCAGCTAGGGTTTCATTTACTGTTGCCAGGGCTGGCCAAAATGGCTACCATCACCGTACTGAGATGAATAAGAAAGTCTACAAGCTTGGGAAGGCTGACCAAGAGTCACATTCTGCCATGACTGACTATGACAGGTTAGCCAAGAGTCCTCTAGACAGCTTGCTTTATAATATTCTATGGTAAATTATTGTAAGTGAGACACGTTTAAATCTTTGCCTTGTCACCAATTTTCCAGGACTGAGAAAGACATTACCCCGATGGGTGGATTCCCCCATTATGGTGTGGTGAAAGAGGATTATGTGCTGATCAAAGGCTGCTGTGTTGGGCCAAAAAAACGTGTCGTGACTTTGAGGCAATCCCTGTTGCATCAAACTTCTAGGGTTGCCCTCGAGGAGATCAAGCTCAAGTTCATCGATACATCATCCAAGTTTGGACATGGTCGCTTCCAGACAACACAGGAAAAGGCCAAGTTCTACGGGAAGCTCAAGGCTTGACAGGCTTAGTGAAGGAGGAATCATCTTTTATATTTGTTTTATTTTTTCTTTTGGTACAATCTTGTACTTAGTTTCCAGCAAATTTCAATTTTGTTTGACTGGGTAACAATTTAATGTTGTAGTTTCGGACCTTAAGTTTGACAATATTTTTCTTTATTTATAATCAGTTGCAGAATTTGGTTCCCAATTTATATGCCCTCATTGTATGTAGTACTTTTTTTTTTTGCCAAGTTAGATGTTATAATGTAGTTTGGGGTTTGCATCTAGCAAAATTTTCGCTTCGAGCCTAGTCATCCTTAAGTCTGTCTGCTGACAGATCAAATAGCCAAATTGGTTGACTTCGCTAGTAAATTCCATTGAACCAGTACTATTTCTCATGCCTTGATAAGCCTTAGGGCCCATGTCGTTGCATTGCAGCAACTGATGGGGACCTGAGCCATGCTAGCCAAAAGGAGCCGCACCCAAATTCCTATTATGTTAATTTCGTAACTAGGTCTTAGTCTCTCTTCATTTGCACATGAAGACGCAAACAATAATAGTAATCCATTATCCTTTTGAATCTGTATCGGGTTCAGCCATGGTATCATTCCTACACGCACAGTAAGAGAGAGAGAGAGAGAGAGAGAGAGAGAGAAAAGGGTTGCACATGGAAACAAGTGGGAGTTCAGTGGTGAATGAGCCAAAAGAAAGAAAAAATAAAAAGCAAAAAGCGACGAGTCTGACAAAGATCAAAGAAGTGAATCATAGACTAATATAAAACAAAGCCTCCGCTACCTATGGGAATTAACACATGGAATATCAATCTTTGCTTTAAGTTTGTTTTTGCTTACGAGACTCCAAAGGCAAAATCTCTTTGGTAAATTGTTGGGAAAGGAAAAGGTTGCTTGAGTCAGGGATTTGGTTGTGAAAAAGAAGGGAAAAAAGATAAAGGAGAAGAAATATATGCTTGAAACCTGTTTTTATGTTTTTCAAAATCTGCTTTATTGTGCTTTCTTATCATGGGACCCTATCTCTTTTAGAAATATGTCTTACATGGAAATGGGAAACAATCATCTTTTCCTTGAAATGACCTTTGTGCACGAATTGGCCTTGTTTAATTAGTCAAAACTGAATAATAAAAGCATGCATTCCGATTCCTATGTAGTTGAATCAATTTTTATCTACAAACCCAGGCAGGAAAACATGGTGATTCTTGCTTTGGAATGGATATTTGTTCCCCACTACCCTCTCTCCTCCATGGATGACTAGCAGGTTGAACATAAATATGTTCCTGTTCAGTTTTTCTGCTTATATTGTCTAGGAATGTAACTTGGCTTAAATTCAAAACTTTGGGAATTCATTTTTTTTTTATTTTTTGGGATAGGTCTAGATAGGCTTTCACATCACTCTCAGACATTTTGATTATCTTGTTGACAAAGGGGCTTACTCAATGCTATCTTAGGTGAAAGGGGAGAACCTCTTTCTTTCTCAGGAGGGGGGGTCCTTTTCATAATTTATGCTGTAATTATTGCTTCATATTTCTTTTCTAGAATATAGCACATGAATTCTTGGCTTTATGGAAATCCTTGTCTGTGAGAGCGGGAAAGAGACGGAGCAATGTTTTGGTCTGTTCAACAAAGATACAAACTAATAGCAGTACTGGCATAGTTTTTAAGATTGGATGCTTGGAATTTTATTGTTTAAAAACAATGAAAAACTTTGCCAAAATAATAGAGTTCATTGGCTTTAGTCTTTCTGACAAAAGTCCTGGGGTTATGGGGTTCCTCTTACCAGGTTACTTTAACAAAATATATGAGGATATGAGGAATAATTGTGGTCTACATCACCCCCTTTTCTAGCTCTTTCCTTTTGCCCACAGACCCTTTCTTTCTTCTCTTGAATCATGACATTTCTGGTACTGCATAGCTGTAAGGTATCCAACATGTTCTCTCTCTCTCTCTCTCTCTCTCACACACACACACACGCAGACACACCTACACCTCTTTTTCTCTTAAGTATTCAATTCTATCCTATTATTGTTTTGTGTTTGCTTTGATCACATGCTGATTCAATACCTGAGTTAACTATTCAAAAATCTTATGTATATAACATATAGTTGAACCTTGGTGAGCAGCCTTTTTCACTTATTTCAGTTTTAAAGTATTCTCTCCAGCAGCTTTATCTTTTGTTTCTTTCTTTCTTTCTCTGATTTAGTGGAAGATTATGTGAGATTTTGCCATCTTTCCCATGATTACATCTGAATGGTAATGTTGGCAAATTGAATCAGGTCAGACATTAATGATATCTACAAGACCTTTAACCCCCTTTAATCCAGGTGCTCATGGATATAGGTTTTAGCAATAAGTAACTCTCATTAACTCTTCTAACTTTCCAGCCTACCTCGTGTAATCCCTCCAAAATATGATGTACTGATTCTTAATGATAGTTATAATCATCTTTCATATGAAAAAAAATTTGCTGAAACAGTTAGTGGAAATAATTATATCTTTTGAAAATTTTTACCTTGAAATGCAGTGAATAATTATAAGTATTGGATTGTTTGAGGAATGATTAACTTGTCACCCTCCCTGGGTTAAGGGGTGGGAGGTGTGGTGGTTTGAGCTATGAATTCAGAATTCCCACCTGAATATATATAAATTTCAGTAATTAAAAAAGTGACAAGCTTTAAAAAGAACCAATAGGCCACTCTTTTCTTTTTTAAGTTTATTTTCAGCTCTCTCCAGACAGGAAGGCCCATGCTTTTGATTTCCTTTAGGTTTGCTTCTTCAGACAAGGTATAGTATTCATTAAGTTAGGCATCAGGATCATGTAACATCAAAGACATCAAAAGAAAAGTGCACTGCTGGGATTATCATATAACTTTGTCTTTACATTTTCAATTGGGATATAAAGCTAGCTGGTCTGAGCTCCTTTCTTTTAAATAATTCATTAAGAAAGTGGGGGTGTCCTGTTTTTCCAGGGCAGTTAGAGCTATAGGATTCGGAGGACTAAAGATAGCGTTTGCTCCTAGTTCCCAGGACCATTTAATCCAAGGCTAGCTTCCCATCTCTATTTTAAGAACAGGTTGGTTTACATGTCTTCATGCTACCAAGAATTCACTTGCAACATTGAAAATCTGCTGCCTCAATATCTTTTTTTTTTTTTTTCCTCTCTTGGTGAGTATTGATCAGTTTGCTTTCATTCGGTAAAGATGCCACTGCAATTCCAGTCACTGCTGCTGAAGAATTAATAAACTTAGATCACGATATGTGCTCTGCAACTTTGGGTCGATGTCCTTTGTTCAGTTTTTTCATTCATAAAATTATGATTTCTTCCAGATTAGGAAGAATTCAGTTTGTCTTTCTGATTTCTGGACAGGAATCCTCTTGCATGAAAACTGTCTTGGCAATTTTGCATGAAAATATTCTACCTTCTGAGTGTGTTCATCAGCCATGTAGATATCTCTCTTCTCTCTCTTAAGTGAAGAAACTACTGCAGCTAACCAGGACTTGATTCTGTGGCACCCTTTTTTTTTTTTTGGCCATTTTTCTACGGCAGCCCGAAAGTTCCATGCCCGTCTCTTTTGCCACACACAATGGCTGAAATATCCTGAAAAATGACTTTCCTTTCCTTTCTTTTCTTTTCCTTCTCCCGAAACTTGAAAATAATTCCTATCATATCTTCACTCATCAACAAAAAGTAATTTGTGTCCTGTAAGGGAAAATATAAAAAATGTGGGTCAGCTATTGAGAGTTGAGGAGACCCTTTTTCTTTTATGGCCCCTTAGAACTATTGTCCATTGTTATATCCATACTTTTTCATGTAAAATTAGTGCATTTCTTGAGCATTTCTGCTCTCAGGAAATAGGGTTCTTCAATACAACTGATATCATGATTCATGACACTGTTATTGGCAACACCCTCTCCTCTTATTAGTTCACTTTCGGATTTCTCCAAGTTTTCAAATTACCAATTTCATCAGTTTTTGAATGAGACTATAGTTCCTGGTACTGAATGCCTTTCTTTATGTGATTAACCACTGTATTGACAATTTTTCGCAGGAGACCATTTTGCCTTTGAAATATGTTGTATCGTTAGTGTTTCTTGATTGAAAAATCTGCCCATTTTCTGTGCATTAGAGTGTTGATGATTACCTTTGTCAAATTTTTTCCAGGGACCATGACAAACTCATGAATGAGGAAAGGCGTTTTCTGAGAACAACAACCTGCAGCCACCTCTTAAACTCGGCTTTAAGCATGTTTTGATCATTCAACGACCATTTGTTCCTACGAGAAGGATTATTACCAGCCTTTCTGAAACAACTATGAATGAGTTTGGTACTGAGAGATCAAGGCCATGGAACATATACACAAGTTCAGATCCGAGTCCATCTCAAGCAGTAGTCGATAGGGAAACTCCCTGGAAAAGCTTCGGGGCGTCCATGAATGCCATTTCTTTCGGCTTTGTTGCTACAGCCATCTTGATATCAATGTTTCTTATCATGGCTATCTTTGAACACCTTTTTCGGCCGAATCCTGGCTTTTCTTCACCTGATCAAGTTACTGAGTCTGGAGAAGGAGCAGAGAAACTGGGGAATCCACACAGAGTAAGTTTCTAGTTCATTAGGGCCGCTAACTTAAACCCTGAATTTTTTCTTGTGGTGTTCTTTTGATTGTTTGCACTATCTACATACTCTTCTGGCGGCAACCTTTCAGAAAAAGAAACCTCAGACAGATACTAAATCATGAATTTCGGATGGAAAACCCTTTCTCATTCAGCAATGATTTTGCCAATTTCTCTCACTGTTATCTACTAGCAGAATAATTAGGAGAACCACATCACAGAAATGTAGCCTGTTTCTGCTGAGGATATGTCTGTAATATTTAACTAATTCTAATCACTTATGTATATAATTCTGCTTATGAAGATCATTTCGATTTACGAAATATGCTTATTTCCATCCATTATTGGAACTGATCTTTGATGTTATGTTCTGATGGCAGGTATCGACATCATATGCATCTGATTTCTCAGTAGTGATGCCAGGAGAGCAATACCCTACCTACATTGCTCAACCTGCTCCCCTCCCTTGCTCAAGGGAAGGCATCTATTGGCCCTCCCATGAACATAATTTTGTATTTCCTTAAGCGTGTAGTCATACATCAAACTGAAAGCATCATCCTATGTATATTTTATCAACAATCAACCTTCCTCCTTTCTGATACTCCATTATCCAATGAAATATTGTTATCTTGAAGCCGGTCTGCCGAAGAAACTACTTTTGTGCAGGATGTAGTACTTCAGCGGCTTAATGAGGTCCAAAATCGATAGTCAGATAATGCCTCAACAAGTCTATTTTTGATTTGGCAAATGACCAATTCGAAAGGTCAATATTCCTATGTTTTCCTCGAGTTCTTTGTTAAACTGATTCTTTAGCAGTAAACCATTAAGTTTATGCTTGCATGGAAGTCACTTCAACTGTCAAAAGATTGTTTGTGACTGAATTTGAGCTATCAAAACTTTTGCATTAACTTGTATAGAAAAGAAAGCAAGTTCCTAGTATCACCAATCTTACGTCAGTAAGAGATGATATGTATTTTAGATATAAAAAACTTTTTTTTTGTTTAATAGACATTTTTTAGATTAGACACGTGGACTTGCAACAAAAATAAAAAATACTAAGATTGAAAGACTCGAATCAAAGAGGGATTCTCTCCCCTTTGAGTGAAAGGAACCAGTGCAACAAGTACTGAAGACATAAACCTGTAACACCTAAGACCATTCATGACACTCCAGTCCATGTTGCATTGAATAGATTTTAAAGGGGTTTTCAAATGAAAAAACTTAAAACTCCGTATCGTTAATACTTTCATTATTGGCTTTCTACACTTTCTTTGTAAAAATTGAATTAAAAACCAAAAACAAAAAAGACCCTAATGAAAAACAAAATTTCAAGTGGAAAAATGGGATATATGGATGTAACCTGATTATGTTTTGTACAGTTGAGTTAATCAGTGAGACTGCCGACCTCCCAGAATCAAGCCCATCTCAATCTTTTTCTAAAACAATAGGAAGAGTTACTCATGAAGCTAGTGCAAATCAGCAGATTAACTACTTGTTGCGCAGACAGCTATAATGTAAAAGGGACATTACATACAAAGAAAAGCCCTTCCAAATCGAGCATCAAACAGAGCAGAGGATGCCTTATGAACCTTAAAGCTCATTGCACATTGCCACTTGACGAATTGATATTAGAAACAAAGGGAAAAAAATATTACATTACAGGATTAAATTTGTAATGAATGATACAATGAAACAGCCAAACCACCATCTCCAACACACCCTATCCTATCCCCTCAGCTCTTTAACCTCCCTTTCCCTTCACTCATCCCCAAGAAGTTTACCAGTGTAAACTGTTCGGTTCATACTCCTTTCTGTTTTTCTTTCTTTCCTCTTTTTTGGATTCTCTGATCTTCGGTAACTGTTTCCTATTTGTATTTGTTTCCATGATGGGCAAAGAGAAACAGGGAAGCAAAATATGTAATGACAGAAATCTGCTAGTGCTCCTCTATCCCTTCTTCATCAGGCATTATTGCAGTCAATAAAGAATACTTAACCCGGAGAGAGATCCTTCCCTTCTCAACAAGTAATCTTGCCCCAGAAACGACCCAATATCCAGGAATTTCTTGCGGCCCTCTTGTCATCTCTGTTGTATCAACAAATTTCAAAAGCTTGGGGGCTTGCACAGGCACAGGAGGACCTCCAGGATAAACAGCAGAATTTATATTCACGTCAGCTGGCCTTGGAGGTGGCTTCTGTACTGTTGTGAAGTGATGACTGATTAGTGTGGATATGAGTCCTGACTTGGGTGCCAACCCAGGTGATCCATCCCATTCTGGATGCTTAACAGACATAGCTCCCAAGACAGTTGAGAAGCGTAGCCGTAGAAAGAGAATATTTTTAAAACCATGATTCTCAACCTGCAATTGGGCTCCAGTTACTATGGAAAGATCCTCATCAGACTCAACAGGGGCAGTGCATACATGAGAGTAGTTCTTCCAATAAACTTTCTCATAGTAATTACGATCATGAGACTTTTGGCAGAAGTTCCCATTTGGATCATCTACAAGTTGGAAGATTTTTGGAAGGGAGGAAAGGTGCTGTAAGTGGATGGCCAAGCGGTTGCTCCTTTTTCCTTCTAGATAAAGTCGGAGGCCAGTCACTGGCCTTTTACCCACATCAACCTGTCATGAAATTATATAACCAGAAATTAGCTATAGCTATAGCTATAACCAGAAATTATATAAGACTTCACCAAAACAGGCTGCCGCTTCAATGATTCAAGAGTTAACATCAGTTTGCACCTTTATATCGACACTATGTCACAAAGTCAAACTGCGCTCTCTTCAGGAGAACTAAAGAAGACAAAGTCTTATATAAAGTACCACCGATATGAGTTCCCTAGAAGCATTTTCTTTGATATATCTAGAGAATTAAATCTAGTCAAATCACAAAATGCTATTTCCTTTTCAACATACAGTCATCATGGCACAAAATTTTTAAATTTAAAATGCTGAAGAGATACTAGTGATCATCTATAAATCCAACACCAGTACATCAGCATGAGATGAAGTTTATCTAGCCAAGGACAATAAGAACTACTCACATACATGGATGAAACCTACATGGTTAAATACTCCGTGCATACAACAAAAGGGACAGAAAAATTTCAATGTGAGAAGATGCTTTACCGGTGTAGTGTTCACAAAAAGCTTGGGCCCCATGAAGCTGAATTGCAAAGATGCAGTACTTTGTTGCTTTCGTTGTGGACCAAGAGGAAGTTCACTGAAAACCGGTGCCCACTGTCTTGGAAGCTGAAACTCCAAAAACTGGTGGAGTTCTTCAATTGGTGGTTTATCTGTAAGAGCAATAGCTTATGGATGAAATATGTGTAGACTGTTTGCTATAATAACAAAGAGGTATTATTTGCAGCAGTAAGCAAATGAAGGAAAAAGAAGTCAATCAGAAGCACCATTGTGGGCCAAAAGTTTGTTCTCATTGATTTGTGACACATCTAGTTGAGGATTAAGTTGATGCACTGTGGTACTTACTGACAACTAACGGTTATTTAACAAAGGTTTCAACCAAAATAAGCTCCTAACTCTTCTGTTTCATTGCCTCAGATTTCATAACAATAAGATGGTTAGTGGATTTATGGTATTTTACATTTAATATTTAAAAGAAATTTCAAAAACAAAAATCTGAAGCATACTTCTTCCAGAAAATAATAAATGAATTCTATGTTTTAGAAAATAAGATACAATAATTTGATCTAATTAGTAGCAGAAAACCAAATGCTTAGGTACACAAAAAAATAGGCCTTGCTTACATCGCAAATACAGATTGATGGCATGGCTCAGAAATCCACTACCCGGGACTCCATTCAATAGAGAAGTAATTGGGATACAGGACATTGAGATCACATCAGGCTCTAACTGAACTGTTTGTAACCAGTCATTATGAGATAGGTTTCTATTATCACTTCCACCTCTCCTTTTGTAAATGCTTATAATATCCTGCAATTTTGAGGGAATTAATAACAACATTGACATTGGGAAAAGAATTTAACCCTTTATCAAGGGACGTTAACTAATAAGCTAACAACACCATATGAAAGTCAGAACACAAACCTCTTTATGTGCATATGAACTTGACGGACTGTTATGTGCAAACCTTAGCCGCTGCTCCCTGATTTCAAACTGAAACAGAAATGATTAGATAAGATACCTCAGAAGATATCATAAATAATACTAATAAGTTCGTACCCCATTGTAAAAGAATATTGAACTAGGAATATTGATTTCATTCCATCCAAGAAATGAGATTTATCAAGATATACAACTATAGATTTGAAGAATAGCATTGACAGTTCTATTACAAACCTTGTCACTCTGGAAATCTTGCTCAGACGCCACGGTATAATGTCCATTGGCATCTAAAAACCTCTTATCAGCCATATCCTTCAATCTTTTCTGGATATCAGCAGGTTGAAGATTAGAGGAATGCTGCTGTTTTATGTAAATAACATCCTTCCCTCCCATCTTCACACCAACAATAATATGGGTGCCATAAGTGTCAATAAACCTGGGATGTCATCAACATTATATAACAGACGTCAAATACTATACAGCAGAAAGTAATGATCTTTAAATAAAACAGGCAGTGCGCATCAGAAGATTTGTAACCAACCAACACTACAGCATTCTACTTATTTTCATCAGGAATATACATGCTGAACCAGTGTAAGAAAATTATTAAAAAGTTGATCATTGGATAAGTCTCCATGAGATAGCAGAATTCACAGAGGGAGAGAGAAATGAGCAAGGGCTGAGGCACAATTTGTTAAATAAGCAAGAAAATGCCTCCTAGATGCCAGGGTGTTATTTAAGGACTTCATCACCAGAATACAAAGACCAAATTTATGCAGAAATTCACCTTGCCAATGCTGCAGGTTCCCATGTAGATGGGACTGCTTTCTTGACATGATCTCGTAGCACCATCTGAGATTTCTCCAGTGCAACTGAGTAGAGAGTGATGAACACTCCATCAAAAGCAAGCGTCTTAGTATTGGCAGCATCTTTTTGCCAATAACCAGAGAACTCAAACATGGAATTGAAGAGGCCTGAAGGTATTTTTCCAGTCAAAGATATTTCTTGGTTGAACTGCTCTGACATCTGGAGAAAATAGAAGAAAATAATGAGAAGAAGCAGACTCTCAAGACAAACAAAAAATAATAATAAACACAATCAAATCTCAAACATGACTAGCATTTGTCATATATCTTTCATGGGATTTGACTCATGCCACAACCATCCAAATACTAGTACATATATGGACATCAATAATATCACCTAGACAGCTACCGAGCAGGTAGCATGTAGTTTTTCAGTTTGAACAAACTACTTTGTGAGGGACAAAAAAAATAGAAGCCGAATATATTGATCAGATAGCATTGAACAGACAATAAATTATTACCTGTTGGAAGGAGAGGACATCCGACCTGAATCGTGTACGCTCCCCTTTATCGCATTTTATTGATTTGGACACGTTAGGTATTGAAATTCCACCAGGCAAAACAATGTCACGGCCTCCGTCTTCATCAATCTCAATAAGACATGAATTTTTTGAATCCCGTTTACAGTACTTCAGCCTAAGATCCATTCCGATATCATACCCACATCCAATGGACCCAATGGCAATCTCAGCTGCCTTTGGAGCTGGCATCCTAAGCGCCATTGCTCAGCGCATCACTCTTTCTTACCAAAAATTGGAACCAAATTCTGCACGTGATCAAATTATTCAAAATAAACAAATTTTAGTCCATGTCAAGCAGCAGTTTTCAATCATTTCCATAAATAAACCTAATCCAAAGTCTACAAATAGCTCAACTTGTCAAAGCTGGGGAACGACCATCATATGCAATTTTTTGTTTAAAAAAAGCATATTTTACCGAACAGAGTAGATCAGAAGTCTATAAATAACTCAAAAATTCATATTCATATCAAATGAGACCAAATTTCATACTTTTTTTCCAGAAACAAGCAGAACTCCAACCAATCTAGCTCAAATTTTCAAGAAATTCAAACAATTTTCAAAACTTAACATTCAAAACCCAAATATAGTTCAAATTCACCAAAATATCCCTAAATTCATGAAAAAAAAAAACTAGATCCAAAAACTGCAGACAGGCTAAAAAGCAAAGAAAGTTAGCTTAGACTAGTCAAAGAAAAAAAAGAGTTGTACATTTTACGCGGTCCAAGAACTAAAGTGGAAATCTTTGGTGGGGGTTTTTTGAGCAGATTTTATGCTCAAAAAAACCAATCGAAGCGAAGCTCACGCAATTTGAAGCCCTAAAATGTCAATCCCTTTGTTCGATTTCGACGCTTTTCCCACACCAAACCGCGAGATTATCACGTTGGGAAAATTCCAAGAACAAAACCCAAACTTTAAATAAACGAAAGATTTGGTCTTTGATGGAGAAACTTAGACAACGGAGAAATAAAATAAAATAAATTAAGAGAGAAAGAGAGAGTGAGAGAAACCCTAAGAAGGGGGAGAGTTGAGAGAGACGGAAGTAGTAAAAATGGGTTTGACTGAAATGAGAGATTCTATTGACATGTGAGACTCAGACGCTTAACTGGGAGCTTTATGGGGAGATGCAGGAACGGAGAGTCAAAGTGGAGCTTTCAACGTTGAGGTTCTTCTAACTTCACAGCCTGTTACTCTACTTTTCTCCACCGCCAATCTTTGCTCCATCAAATTTCTTATTTTAATTATCTTTCCATAATTAAACATTTAGATTTGGATTTAAAATTATCTATCATGTTCTAAACTGCCAACTTATTTAAGACACGAAATTATCTTTTCTTAAAAAATATTATAACTGTTTAACTTTCATATGACACACGTTTAAATTAAAATGTAAAACGTGTAATAATTACGCATGTATTTAAAATTTTAATTTATTTAATTAATTATGTTTAATTTATAGTTATTTGTTTAATCATTAATATTTAAATATCCAATTATTTTGATAATAATTTATCAAGCACAACACATACTTTAAATAACCACAAGCATAATACATGCTGACAGCAAATAGTACTACTTCTATTTAAAGCTATGAATTAAATTATATTAGAATTTTTCAACTTGATTGTCGTTGGCCTATCTATTTTTAGAAACCAAAAGGAAGTTCATAATAGGCTCAAAAATAAATTGCAAATTAGTATTTGATTAATGATGGGTTATTGTTGTAATTATGTAATATTATGGCAATCAAAATCATTAGAGGAATGATTAGTTTTAATTCTCAAACTAAATATAAAAGTTGTAGTGGCTTCAATTACTACAAATCTGTGGTCTTAAATGGAATGTCTGCCCTCTTGATTAGGTAAGAAATTAATTGCACAAATAGGCTTAGAGGAATTTTATGATGGAAAGAGAGACCCACAAGCCCATAATTTCTCAAGCTTTGTCTTATATCTACAAAAATTCATCAATTCCCCTCCATTTACAGTGGTTTTTCAGTGTAAATAATAGTAATCAAGCCCATAATTCCATATTGAACTGCATGAACTTTGATCTATAGAGTTTATAATTCCTTCCTTTTTTTTTGTAAAAAATAATAAAAAAAACATCAACCATGAAAAATAGTTGCATGACCCGGAAAGAAGAACAAAAATTTCAACTGAAAGAATGGGATATGTTGATGTAACCTGATTATGTTTTGAAGAGCTGAGTTAATCAATAAGGATCCAGACCTCCCATTGTCAGCTCATCTAAATATTTTCCAAAATAATAGGTAGAGTCATTCATGAGTTTAGTGCAAAGCAGAAGATTAACTACTTTGTTGTGTATACAGCTATAATGTGAGAAGGATATTACATACAAAGAAAACAAGCCCTCGCAAATAGAGCATCAAACAGAGCAGGGGATACCTTACAACCTTAAAGCTCATTGCATATTAGAAACAAAGAAAAAAGAAATTATATTACAAGAAAAAATGTGTAATGAATACGATGAAACAGCCAGCCAGCCACCACCAACACACCCAATCCTATCCCCTCAGTGTAAACCATTCCTACTCCTTTCTCTCTTTTTTGTTGGATTCTCTGATCTTCAGCAACTGTTTCCTATTTATATTTGTTTCCGTGCTGGGTAAAGAGAAAGAGGAAAGCTAAATATGTGGTGACAGAAATCTGCTAGTGCTCCTCTATCTCTTCTTCATCAGGCATTATTACAGTCAACAAAGAATACTTAACCTGGAGAGAGATCTTTCCCTGCTCAACAACTAATCTTGCCCCAGAAACGACCCAATATCCGGGACTTTCTTCCGTCCCTCTTGTCATCTCTGTTGTATCAACAAATTTCAAAAGCTTGGGGGCTTGTACAGGCACAGGTGGGCCTCCAGGATAAATAGCAGAGTTTATACTTACCTGACATGTTGTGCCTGTGACAAGAGAACTGCTTCGTATAGATAAGAGTCCTGACTTGGGTGCGAGCCCAGGCAATCCTTCCCATTCTGGATGCTTAACATGCGTAGCTCCCAAGACAGTTGAGAAGCGTAGTCGTAAGAAGAGAATATTTTTAGAACCATGATTCTCAACCTGCAATTGGGCTCCAGTTACTATGGAAAGATCCTCCTCAGACTCAACAGGAGCAACACATACGTGAGAGTAGTTCCTCCAATAAACTCTGTCGTAGTAACGATGATCATGAGACTTTTGGCAGAAGTTCCCCTTTGGATCATCTGCAAGTTGGAACGTTTTTGGAAGGGAGGAAAGGTGCTGCAAGTGGATGGATAAGCGGTTTTTCCTATTACCTTGTAGATAAAGTCGGAGGCCAGTCACTGGCCGTTTACCCACATCAACCTGTCATGAAATTATATAACTAGAAATTAGCCATAGCTCCTTTCTTTGATATAAACAAAGTATAAGACTTCACCAAAAAGGCTGCCACTTTAATGATGCAAGAGTTAACATCAGTTTCCAACTTTATATCCACACTATGTCACAAAGTCGCACCGTGCTCTCTTTGGAAGACCTAAAGAAGATGAAGTCTTAGATAAACTACCACAGATGTTAGTTCCCTAGCAGCATTTTCTTTGCTATAACTATAGATAATTAAATCTTATCTAATTACAAAATGCTATTTCCTTTGTGACATACAATCATCATGGCATAAAATTTTTTAATTTAAAATGCTCTAGAGGTTCTATGATCATCTATAAATCCAACACCCGTACACCAACATGTTATGAAGTTTATCTAGCCAAAGGGCAATAAGGACTACTCACATACATGGATGAAACCTACATGGTAAAACACTCTGTGCATACAACAAAAAAGTCAGAAAAATTTCAATGTGAGAAAATCCTTTACTGGTGTAGTGTTCACAAAAAGCTTGGGCCCCATGAAGCTAAATTGCAAAGATGCAGTGCTTTGTTGCTTTCGTTGTGGACCAAGAGGAAGTTCACTGAAAACAGGCGCCCACTGTCTTGGAAGCTGAAACTCCAAAAACTGGTGGAGTTCTTCAATTGGTGGTTTATCTGTAAGAGCAATAGCTTATGGATGAAGCATGTGTAGACTGTTTGCTATAAAAAAGCACTATTTGCAGCAGTAAGCCAATGAAGGAAAAAGAAGTCCAATAAGAAGCACCATTGCAGGCACAAATTTGTTCTCATTGTTTCATGAGACATCTATTGAAACACGATAAATACCGATCAATTGTTCTATTCCAAATATCTCTCTTAACTTAAGCACTGCTAGTTAAGGGATTAAGTATATCGATCATAATAGAAGAGAGTAAAGATCACGTCCTATTGATAGTGTGGTACTTGCTAACAACTGCTGGTTATTTAACAAAGGTTTCAACCAAAATAAGCTCTTAACTCTTGTGTACGATTGCCTTTGGTTTGCATAACAATAAGATGGTTAGTGAATTTATGGTATCTTATATTTTACAAATTATAAAGAAATTTCAAAAACAAAAATTCAGGCATACTCCTTCCAGAAAATGATAAATGAATTCTATGTTTCGAAAAATGAGATACAATAATTTGATCTAAGTAGTAGCAGAAAACCAAATCCATTAGGTACACAAAAAGATGGGTCTTGCTTACATTTCAAATACAGATTTATGGCATGGCTCAGAAATCCAATCCCCCGGACTTCACTCAATAGATAAGTAATTGGGATAAAGGACATTGAGATCACATCAGGCTCTGACTGAACTGTTTGTAACCAGTCATTATGAGGTAGGTTTCTATTATCACTTCCACCTCTCCTTTTGTAAATGCTTATAATATCCTGCAATTTTTAGGTAATTAATGACACCATTGATATTGGGAAAAAAAATTTTAACCTTCATCAAGGGGCCTTAACTAATAAGATAAGAACACCATATGAAAGTCAGAACTCAAACCTCTTTATGTGCATATGAACTTGTTGGACTGTTATGTGCAAATCTTAGCTGCTGCTCTGTGATTTCAAACTGAAACAGAAATGATTAGATAAGAGACCTCAGAAGATCACAAATTATGCAAATGGTTCGCTTATAAGGATGATTGATAGATAAATTAAACCCAATAACAAATTTAAACGAATAAGTTTTCACTATGGAAGATGGCATAAGATCAGAAATATGCAGATGAAGAGCCATAATTTCTTTACTCTATGGATTATCAATCTCTACTAACCAAAGGCAAGCAATGGAAGCATAGAGTGTCAAAGGATAATAAGAAAAACAAAATAGGCACCTAATTGAAGGGTCTGGAAGATAATATATCCTCATTAAAAATTAAGTTGAGAGAGAGAGAACTCTCCTCTTGAACAGTGCTCAAAACAAAATTTGGAGCCAATATGATCCAAACAACCTGCAACAACTTCCACAATAACATCCTGCTTCCGAGGTCTCTCATTGAGATTTTACCCCATTGTAAAAGAATATTGAACTAGGAATACTGATTTCATTCAGTCCAACAACAAGAAGCATGAGTTATCAGGATATACAACTGCTGAATCAGAAAAGGAGACCAGGAGCAGTGTGTAGCAGTGTATGTTGAAGAATAGCATTGACAGTTCTATTGCAAACCTTGTCACTCCGGAAAACTTGCTCAGCTGCCATGCTAGAATGTCCATTGGCGTCTAAAAACGTCTTATCAGCCATATCCTTCAATCTTTTCTGGATATCAGCAGGTTGAAGATTTGAGGAATGCTGCTGTTTTATGTAAATAACATCCTTCCCTCCCATCTTCACACCAACAATAATATGGGTGCCATGAGTGTCAATAAACCTGGGATGTCATCAACATCACATAACAGACGTCAAATACTTTACAGCAGAAAGTAATGAAAATTAAATAAAACAAGCAGTGGACATCAGCATTCTACTTTTTTTCGTCAAGAATGTACATGCTGAACCAGTAGAAGAAAATTATAAAAAGTTGATCATTGGATTAGTCTCCATGTGATGGCAAAATCCACAGAGAGAGAGAGAGAGAGAAATGAGACAGGGCTGAAGTGCAATTCGCTAAATAAGCAAGAACACGCATCCTAGATGCCAGGTTGAGGACTCCACCAGAATACAAAAATCAAATACATGCAGAAATTCACCTTGCCAATGCTGCAGGTTCCCAAAAAGATGGAACTGCTTTCTTGACATGATCTCGTAGCACCATCTGAGATTTCTCCAGTGCAACTGAGTAGAGGTTGATGAACACCCCATCAAAAGCAAGCGTCTTAGTCTTGGCAGCATCTTTTTGCCAACAACCAGGGAACTCAAACATGGAATTGAAGAGGCCTGAAGGTATTTTTCCAGTCAAAGATATTTCTTGGTTGAACTGCTCTGACATCTGGAGAAAATAGAAGAAAAAAACGAGAAAAACCGGACGCTCAAGACAAACACAAAAAAAGAAATTACAAAAATAGAATCAAATCCCAAACATGACTAGCATTTGTCATATATCTTCCACAGGATTTGACTCATGCCACAACCATTCAAATACTAGTACATATATGGAAATTGATATTATCAGCTAGATATCTACTTAGCATGTAGTTTTCAGTTTGAACGGACAGCTTGGTGAGGGGGAAAAAATGGAAGCCAAATATATCGATAAGATAGCATTGAACGAACAATAAACTATTACCTGTTCGAAGGAGAGGACATACGACTTGAATCGTGTGCGCTCCCCTTTATAGCATTTAATTGATTTGGACACGTCGGGTATTGAGATTCCACCAGGCAAAACAATCTCATGGCCTCCATCTTCATCAATCTCAATAAGACATGAATCTTTTGAATACCCTTTACAGTACTTCAGCCTAAGATCCATTGTGATATCATACCCATGTCCGATGGACCCAATGGCCGCCTCTGCCGCCTTTGGAGCTGGCATCCTAAGCGCCATTGCTCAGTGCAACACTCTTTTTCCACCAAAACTGGAACCAAATGAAAGCAAATTTCATGCTTTTTTCCACATGCAAGCAGAACTCAAACCAATCTAGCTCAAATTAGCAAGAAAATCAAACAATTTTCACGACATAACAACATTCAAAACCCAAATATAGTTCAAATTCAACAAAATATCCCTAAATTCATTAAAAAATCTAGATCCAAATAACTGCAAACAGGCTAAAAAGCAAAGAAAGCTAGCTTAGACTAGTCAAAGAAAAAAAAATAGTCGTACATTTTTTGCAGTCCAAGAACAAAAATGGAAGTCTTTGGTGTGGGTTTTTTTGAGCAGATTTTTATGCTCAAAAAACCAATCGAAGTGAAGCTCACGCAATTTGAAGCCCGAGAGTGTCAAACCCTTTGTTCGGTTTCGATGTTCTATTGGCTTGCTAGATTCAGACTTTAACTGGGAGTTTTATCGAGAGAGAAAGGAACACAGAGTCAACGTGGAGCTTCAACGCTGTGGTTCTTATAACTTCACTGCCTGTTATTCTGGTTTTCTACACCGCCAATCTGCTCCACTAATCTGACAAACATGCTTGATTTGATTCGAAGGAATAGAATAAGAATAGAATAATTATTTTAAAAATATAAAATAAAAAAATTATTTTATAAATAAATTTATAAAAAAAATATAATAAAAAATATTGTTATTACTTATTTTATTATTTGATTGGTAGAAATAATTTTTGAGTAGTTAAAGAATAATAGATAAATGATCAAGATACTTTTATTAACATTTAAAGATTTTTTAATTAAAAAATAAAAATACTATGATAAGAAAAAAAAAATTATTAAAATTAAAGAAATACTATGATGAGAAAAAAAATTCTCTCTATTAAAATTAAAGAATTTATTTTGTTAAAAGATAAAAATATTCTAAATAATAAAATCAAAAAACTTTTACTATAATTAAATAATATTTTTATCAAAATATAAATATATTTTTATTATAATTTAACAATATTTTGTATTAAAAGATAATTAAACTTTGTATTATAATTAAATAATATTTAATATTAAAAAATAAAATATATTCTTCATTAAATTTAAATAATACTAAATAATATTTTTTATTATATTTATTATATTCAAATAATAATATTAAATAATTTCCTTTATAATATTTATTATAATTAATTAATATATATTAATATATTAAATAATATTTAAATATTTTTTAAAAATAAAATAAAAAATTTTGTGTCCTCTATGCTTTAGAGAGAGAAGAAGGAAGAGAGAAAAAACAAAGGCTTAGTAGTTTTTATAATGTAATTTTTTAAACTGTAAAAAAGTATATTTGTCTAATTAATTATTTTTTTATTCCTAACAATCTGAAATAGCTATTCCGAAGCATAGCTATTCCATTGAACCAAATCAAGCTTTATCTCAATAATGAGAATAGAAGGGGAATGGCTATTCTATTCTCTCTAACCAACGTATCTTGAGTTTAAAATACAATATGTAATAATTACAAATCTAAAACTAAAAGTAAAGGTCCTAGTGACTTTAATTACTATGCTTGCCTGTTAATTAGGTAAAAAATTAATAGTCAAAAAACTTATTCAGTTCTTATATTTTTTAATTTTGTTCAATTTAATATCTATACTTAAAATCGAAGTAATTTAGTTTTTTAATTTTGGAGATTATATCAATTTAATCCCTTCTTCTAACGACATTTAATTTTATTGTTAAATGATGATATCAATAGTGATGTGTCACTTTTTTGATGATGTGGCATGTCACGTGACATCCGAGTGATGACATGACAATGCCACATGGTACCATATGATGACGTGACACTAATATGTTGAGATGTCAACGTTACGTGACAGATAAAAAAAATTTCAAAAAAAATTCTGCCACATTATAGGGATTAAAGTAAATAAAAATATATAATATAGAGACTAATTTAAATAAAATTAAAATAGTAAGAAATTAAATTTAAAAAAATATTTAAAACATATAAATCTTTTAAGTAGATTATTGATATGCTTATTAATAACTCAAATATTTAAGTGTAAAAGATTAATAGTATTAAAAAATATATATATTTTCTTATTTGATTATTGGATTTTAGAATTTGTAAATTTTTTTTTTTTACAAAAATTAAGTTTGAATCCTCATTCTATAAAAAAAATTAAAAAAAATTTCATACTTAAAGTCAAATTTAAATAAATAACTTACATTACGTAAAAATAAAATAATATAAAATGATTAGATATGTTGATTTAGTTACAAGTTTCACAATTTACAATTACATATTTTTTTAAAATTATTCAACTCTTACCAAATTTATCTTTTATTTAAATTTACTGAAATTAACAAAATATGTTGATTTGGTTACAACTTTCACAATTTGTAAATACACATTCGTTTGAAATTATTTTAACTCTTACTCAATTTACCTTTTCTTTAAATTTATTCAAAATGTCTTATAAAACGATTTTATTTAACGTCAAATACTACAAACAAATTTTACTAAATTTAAATTTAAATTATTAATTTAAATTTATAAAAAATTTATTAATAAAATAAAATAGTATAAATATTTACAATTATATTTAACTTTATCTACCACAAATGCAATCTTTAATTTAAGAAATTTCAACTTAAAAAATATAACTTGAAATATTAAATAAAAAATATAAAATATAAATAAATAATTGAAAAGGTGGAGCTCAGATTTTATGGTTGTAATAAGAAATTTGTCATATCCAAATTAAACAAGTCAGAGCAAAAAATTATTTTTATAATCATCACTAACTCTATATCTCCGTTCTTCATTTAAAAAGAAACTAAATTAACATATTTTGCTTATTTGACTTTAGTTCGAGTTAAAAACTAAGTTAAATAAAGTTTTTATATTATTATAAATAGAAAAAATATATTTTTTTTATAATTGGAGAAGGAGAGATTCGAACCTTGCTTTTTAAGTAGGAGAATAATGCACCAACCAATGAGCCAAATGCTCTAGTGTAGAAGAAAAAAGAATTTATTTAGTCATTTTATATTATTATATTTTAAAATAATGCATGTTATTCATATAAATTTAACTTCAAGTATGAAATTTTTTCAATTTTTTTTTTATAAATAGAGAATTCAAACTTAATTTTTATAAAAAAAAATTAATTTACATATTCTAGAATCAAATAATCAAGTAAGAAAATATTTATATATATTTTTTAACATCATAAATCTTTTGTATTTAAATATTTAATTTATTAATAAGCACATCAATAATCTACTTAAAGATTTGTATTTTTTTCAAAAAAATTTCAATTTTATCTCTCAATATTTCAATTTTGTTCAATTTAATTCATGTATTATATATTTTTATTCACTTTAATCTATGAAAAAAAAAATTTAAAAATTTTGTTGATATGTCACGTGGTATTGACATGTTAGCATGTCAATGTCATGTCAGTAATGTCACATCATCATATAATGCCACGTGACATTACTACATCATCACTCGATGACACGTGACTTGCCACGTTATTATCTTAAACACCACATCATCAAAAAGTGACACGTTAGCGTTAACGTTATTGTTAACGTCGGCAATAACGTCATTTTTTAACAACAAAATCGAATGTAATTAAAAAAAAAAACTAAATTGACGTAATTTTTAAAATTAAAAATTAAAATTGCTTCTATTTTGAGTACAGTAATTAAATTGAATAAAATTAAAGAGTAAAAGAACTGAATTGATCTTTTGATAAAAAATTAATTGCAGAAATAAGCTCAAAGCTTTGTCTTATTTCTATTTTCTACAAAAATTCATCAATTCTCCACCATTTTTGGTGCTAATAATAGTAATCAAGCAATGAAATCTGGGTTTGGGAAGATCAGTATTATCAACTAGAGTTAATGAAAGATTGAATTGCATGAACTTTGAACTACAGAGTTCCAAAAATTACAATTTACATGAAATGATGAAATGGCTCAAGTTTTTAATTAAAATAATCAACTGAATTCCCTGCTAAGAGCATGCCCTGTTCTTGAGAACTCAGCAGAATCATTAGCCAATCTCCATGCTGAACTCTGCCCTGTAACATCTCCCCCAATCAGACACACAGGCCAGCCAATTTTTGAAACTTTTGATCCCTTGAATTCTCTGCTTTCCGTCATGTCAACATGGTAGACAGGGCATGCGGAAGCTAAACTGTCCCAACATATTCTACCTCCCTAATGGAAACTCCATGGCCTAAACCCATTTTACCTAAACAAAAACCAATACTGTATTTCCCCATTTTACCAAAAACCAAATAAAAATGGGGTGGTGCTCCTCAGGTATTTTCATCAGGTATTATAGCAGTCAGTAAGGAATACTTGACCCGTAGAGTAATCTTGCCTTCCTCAACAACTAGTCTTGCCCCAGAGACAACCCAGTATCCAGGAGGATCCTGTGGCCCTCTAATCATCTCAGCTGTATCAACAAATTTCAATAGTTTTGGGGTATAATTAGGCATTGGAGGGCCACCGGGGTAAACCGAAGAGCTTGTACGTGGCTCAGGTTGTCGTGGTGCTGGCGTTAAAGGCCTGCTGAAAAAATCTGATAGGACTCCTGACTGAGGTGAAACTCCAAATGATCCATCCCACTCTGAATGTCTTACAATTATAGCTCCCAAAACAGTGGAGAAACGAAGTCGTAAAAAGAGAACTGTTTTGAACCCATATTTCTCTACCTGTAGCTGAGCTCCAGTTACTATGGAATGATCATTGAAAGACTCTACAGGAGCTGTGCAGACTCTAGAGAAGTTCTTCCATCTAACTTTTTCAAAGTATCTTTTATCATAGGACTCTTCAGGGAAGGTATCATCGGGTTCAGCCACAAGTTGAAAGTAGGTTGGCAGAGAAGAAAGGTGCTGCATGTAGACAGCCAAGCGATTGCTTCTTTTCCCCTCCAGATAGAGCCGGAGACCTGTAACTGGTCTCTTACCCACATCAACCTGTCATTTGGCAATTATAGTAAGCTTTGATTTTAACAGAAACAAATGATCACATATGATAGAATTTCCCATGCTAATATTAAAGAATTGAATGAAATTCCCATGCTAATATTAAAGAATTGAATGAAATGATCTCCCAGAAAGGAATTTCTTCTAGCAAAAGGAAACATAAATATGTTTATCAAATGGTTATGAGCAGAGATATTTCCTATAAACAAGAGTAAGTCCCTTATATTGGATTCTTAATGTAAGTTCTAGCATCAAAGATGGTACCCGTGAGAACCTTTCTAAAGATGCTACACCATTAAAACCAACATGTTATGTTTTCAGATTCAAAAGTAGATTCTCTAACAGCATACATGACTATGGCAACTGCATGACAAAAAACACATAGGTGCAGCCAATATAAAAAGAAAAGACTTGAACATTTTAATGCTAAACTACTTGTGGCTGAGCCAAAAAGAAAGAGCAAAGATTAGAGGATAAAGAAACTTTACTGGAATGGTGTTAACATAAAGCTTGGGACCCAAGAACTTGAACTGTAAAAATGAATTGCTCTG